TTTTGACTGTTCCCCCGATTAAAAATGCCACTTAAAGGACACCAATTCGATGACAAGGAGACTGTTGAAACCAATGCGATACATGCACTAAAGGCGATTCCGAAAACTGACTTTCAAGAGTGCTGTAAGAAGTGGAAGCATCGATATGAGCATGTTGTTCAATCAAATGGGGACTATTTCGAAGGATGCCACCAACCGGATGACGAAGAATAAGCCCAGCGCCAAAAAATAAGGTCAGGTCGGATACTTTTGGGACAGACCTCGTAGATATAATTATAAGTAATGAAGAGCAAGAGAAGCATAATAATGTTACGTACCGTGTTATTTCAACACATATATATTATACGGAGAGGTGATGTGTATACCGATGGAATAATATATTCAAACAGTGTAGCACCAACGGATAGGGCGAACACCTGCACATCGTGATATTTAATATATAGAATAAGACATGATCACACGTCCTGGACTTCTCAGAAATGATGAGTAAACGATAGTGTTAACATTGTACTATTTAATATGACAATTAAGACTTGATCACACGTCTTGTAATTCTCAGAACCGATGAAATCGCAGGAAAGGCACCCAACTGAATAATAGAGAGCTCCTTTAGGTCATTGGAAGTCACCACCTCCTCAGTCACCACTCTTGACGGTTAACCATATATAAGGGAGACCAGGGCAAGAGCTCAGCAGACGGTTAGGGATATTCGAGACGCTCAGAGGCAGGTCGTAACACCACTCACGGTCTCGTCTATCAGTATTTCAGAGGCAGGTCGTAACACCACTCACACCATCTTGTGCTTATAAAATTGTATTCTTGTACGAGTTAATTGTATTAAATAAAGACTTAATCTTTTGACTTGCAAACATTAGTATTTCTATTTCTACGTTGATATATGAATCGACGTTGACATAAGGGACGCAACAGAAAAATTGGCGCAGTCGGTAGGATTGATTTCCATGAAGAAGACAACTTAAAATATTTCTAAACATATTTTTGGTACCGTCAACTTCTATCAACAGAGGCAACTTCACTCACGTGAACCATCGTTGGATCGAGACGTCTTTTCAACAACTCTTGGGAAATCGAACACATTGTTGCAGTTCAAAACAACGGCGAGAAAATCAAGCTACGGAATGAATACAGTGATTTTGTAAGCATAAATTATATAACCGTCTCCTTTGGTCATTTTGTCCATCGTAATTAGGAAGGTCTTTTTTCCATTTTTATTTTATTATTTTATTTTTTATTTTTTTTATTATTTTATTTTTTTTTATTATTTTGGGAGTTAAATAAAGAGTTATATTGAGATTATTTTGGGATTATTATTTTGAGATTTATTAAGTAAAGAGAATTTTGTGTTTTATTGAATTATACTGAAGTAAAAGTATTTTTGTGTTTTATTGAGAATTTTGAATTTCACTGAAGTAAAAAGTATTTTTGTTTTTTATTGAGAATTTGAATTATACTGAAGTGAAAAGTATTTTTGTGTTGAGAATTTTGAAGATTATATTTTTTTTTGAAGAGTATATTGAGATTTTATTTTGATGAGAAATAAATATTTAAATTAATGAATACGGGTTCCCAGGGAGAGAACGCAGAAGTTATTGTTGACGAGTTTGAGATACTCGCTAAAGAAACGTTAGATAAGATAATTGATATTTCAGAAAACGATAGTATATTAGATATTAATTTAGGTGATGGTAATAGTGAATTAATTAATGACGAAGAAATAAATAGGTTAATCGAAGAGGATAAATTAGAATTAAATAAAATTAATAAACCAGTAGACGATATATTAAATAAAAGTTTAAGATTAATTAATTTAGACGAATTTCAAAATAACCCTACTATGTACATATAGTACATGTAAGATAGAATTAAGAAGTAATAAAAATATTATTCATACCGAGTATATACCAACTAAGCGAACAGTAAAAACTAAAAAAATGGCAACATCTAAAGTCCCCACATTAAAAGTCATTGACGCTTTACATATGATTCCCCAATATTCAGGACAAACCGAAATGTATCCGTTCATAAACGCATGCGAAACCATAATTGATTCAGTAGATCCCGACCAATTACCGTTACTATTAAAAATGATAACCGCGATTAAATTAACTGGTAGAGCTTTCAATTTTACTAGATATAAAGAAATTAAAGAATGGAACGACATTAAAAAATTATTATTAGACGCATTCGAATCACCTTATGGTGCCGCGAACTTACAAATTGAACTTAACATAATAAAATTTAAAAACGATGAAACGATTCAGGCATATAATAACCGCGTAGAAGAAATATTCCAATAATTATGCGACGCAGTAGCCGTAGGTAAACCGTCGTCCGAAGCAATAGTATTACGTGAGAATATTAAAGAATAAGCTATGGTTAGTTACATTAACGGGTTACCTAACGAAATAAAATTTGAAGTGAAAACTAAAAATCCAAATTCTCTTGACCAAGCGATGCAGGTAGCATTAGTAGCCGATAAAAACATACGTACGTATAATAATGCACAAGACATTTTTAGAGTAAATAATAATGAATACAATAGGCAAACAAATAGAAATAACAATAGTTATAACGTTAACTAGGGTCAAAATAATAATAATCAACACGCTTCGTATAGTAACAATAATAATTTCCGAGGTAGGAATAATAATCAGGTCCAAAATTCTAGGAACAACAATTTTAATGTTAGGCGATGTTTTACGTGTAATCGCGAAGGACATTTTTCGTCACAATGTAGGATGAATAATCAATCATATAATTTTACGCGACCACCCAACGGAAATACTAATCAAAATTCACACGACACCTGCACATATTGTAACAAAACGGGACATACAATCGCGGTATGTTACAAAAAACAAAACGACGAACGTCGTAATAACTCGGGAAACGGGCAGAACTCTCACGCGACACACGGGACGCGTGCGATACAAACGATAACCGTGGACCCATCAAAAATTGCCTTCCAACAGTACTCACAACAATAAATAATATTAACCATGTGAAATGCATTTCACCTGCTTATAAAATTAAAGAGTTAGAATTCCTTATCGATACAGGTAGTGAAGTGAACGTAATTAAAAATGATATTTTATGCGACGGATTAACAATAGACGAAACACAAAAAGTATATCTTAAGGGAATAAATGACCAAATAATACAAACTTTAGGGAAAATAACAATACCTTTAATATTTCAAGGGCAAAGCATATATACGGAGTTTAATTTAGTTAGTAAGAATTTTCCAATAAAGAGAAACGGTATAATAGGTAATAGTTTCCTAACGGAAAATAATTCAATAATAAATTAGCGAATAAGATATTAGAAATAAACGTTAATAATAAAAATATAGTTTTAAAACCTAGAACAGAAACCATTGTATCTATACCTATAGCTGCAACGGACGTAGAAAATAAGGACATTATAATTCATAAATAAAAAATAGTAGTAGGAATTTTGTGGAAATATTATGGACACTGTACACAACGATGAAATACTGATAAGAGTGTTAAATATAACTGAGGCATCCGATTTAAGGTACGATTCCTATGACGCGTCAGACGCGTGCAGTCGTTGAGAGGTAGTAGACGTCTCGGCCGATTTTTTATTTAATAAAAAATTATTATATCATAACCTGTACTTTAAAGTATCAATATATTTTTTATTAAAAAATTCAAAATGAGCTGCCAACGTGAGTTATTGTCATATCTTCTTCTTGAAGAAATTGAAGAAGAAGAATTTCTAATAGAACAACTATTAGTAGAACAGAGAAATGCAAATGAACATCCCTTATTTACGTCAAGGCCAGAAGAAGGATTTTTTGAAATATTAGTTAACCGGCATTTAATACACGATGACAAGAAGTTCCGGGAGTTTTTCAGGCTGAATATTGATCAATTTAATTACATTTTGCAATTGATTGAAAAAGATATCACGGTGGATTCTTCAAATCGACATCCATACCCAATAACTGCAGCGGAAAAATTAGCCCTAACATTGCGGTAAGTAAAAATCTTAGGTAATATTATATGTAATATGTGTTTTAAATAGTATCATACATTCACTTATGCCATATAATTTATTTTTAATGTCAACCAAAAAATTATTGCATAAAGCCATTAAGTCATGGGAATATAAAATTAGCAAATTAAAAAAGGCGTTGAGTAAAAAAGCTTGAAAATTTAATAGAGGGCTCCTATTATGTTATTTCAAGGGCAGATGAAAAATATTAAAAATACATAGGTAAAATTTTTTTTTATAAGCTTTTAAAGTTCGAATTTCGACAAAATTTATCAAAATTTCGAAAATTATAAATCATCGTAATTAAAAAATTATAAGATGTTCAGTTTTTATGACGAAGGATTGAAAATTTAAAACAAAGATTCTCATAAATAGTTCACACTGTAACCAAAAATTTTTAAAAATATAAAACAAGAGTTATTTTTTACAGACATTTTAAATTCATATTTGAATGAAATTACATATTAAAACCATAACAAATTTAGTTGTTTTAATTTAAAAATATTATTCATGGATAAATGAAACTTTTATTGTTATACTTTATATATACAATGATATTTTCAATTATAATTTTTTTGGCATAAATGAATTTAACCTATTTACAATAATATCATAAAATATGCCTACCTATAGTAATATTATAGGTTGACATACCGTCTTCGCTCAGAATCGTTTTTCGTATACAGTGATATTATATCATTGAATTCAAATTTAAAACCATCCATTACAGTGACCGACTTGTAACCTACTGTACAGCTGAGCGATACCCACTTGCCCACCTTTTTTTATTTATGTACGTCATCTCCTTTTAGGAGAGCAAAAATATTTAGATTATGTTCAACAAATAAATAAATAATAATAGGAATGCGTCATATTCATAAAGATAAAGGTATAATATTATAATTTATTTTTATTCAATTATAGATATTTTATAAACATTATGGTAAATAATATAAAAACTATAATTGTTCGTAATTAGGCTCATAATGATTGACTTCGTTTACATTTCCGTAAGCACTCACGTCCACACTTTCCAATGACTGTGATGAGAAACTTGTACTTGGCGCCGGTGAATATTGTGGTAAATTTACGAATGTATTGCGTGTTTCTAATTCAAATACCATTTGAAGCGACTTCATTTTTGCTTCATTGATCAATGCTGGATTAAGTTTTTTGACAGACATCGCGATACTTTTGAAAAATAAATCGATCTCATCTTCACGATTTTGAGCCATATTCCTCATGATGTCATTTCTCTCAATACGCCTATCTTCTAGAAGCTGTATAACTTTTTCATTATATTTTTGACGCTTGCTTTTTAGTGGTTTTTGCGACTTCGAAGTTTGTAGAGTTGCGTCTTCATTGGAATTTTCGCCGATTGAACAAATCGACTGATTATTAATTTCCTCTGATGGTACCTGCAAGTCGTCGTTTATTTCTGTACTCGAATCATCTTCTCCACCTTCCTCGCCACACTCAATATTTGATATGCTACTATAAATTAAATGTGAATGGTTAAATTAAATTCATAAACAAAACATTCAAAAATTGAAAAATAAATAATCACTCTCGCTTGTAATCAGCTTTTCCAAGAAACGTCAGCATATCAGCTAATGGCCAATGCTTAGGTTTACTTAAGGCAGATGATCCAGTTCCCATTCCTTTCTTAACCCTTTTAAGGTACGTGTCCTTGATGTTCCTCCACCTTTTTTTACAATCCTCTACTGCAAATAAAAGTAACAATGTAAAAACTAAAAGCTGATAAAACAAAAAAAAAAAAATACAGCAACAAACTTAATTCGTAAATTTAATGACAAACTCTTTTTGGTGTAACTAGTTGAAGTAAATGGGTGGTGATGAATCTGTCATGACAAGTTTATTACATATAGATGGACATACGATAAATCTACCTATAGTATTTAATTGTTATTAATTATTATTATTTATATAAATAATTATCATATCGTTTGAAATGAACAGTCACGTGAATATAGTTTATAATAATAGGCAAATATAAATAATATTATATATAATACTATTAATACTTCTAATACTTATATAATAATCTAATATGTTATTCATACGGTTGGGTCAACTATTGAGTCAATATTGAAGTAAAAATAAATTGTTAGTACACAACTGCTTGGATATTTTAAGCTCGTTTATACCCAACATTGTATAAATAATTATATTAAACAGGAAATTATTATCAATAACAATAAATAAAATAATTTTGTATTTATAGGTTTATGTCAACTGGCGAATCGTACCACTCACTGCAATTTGCATTCAGAATATCGGCTAGTTACATTAGCAAAATTGTAAAAAATACACTGAGAGTTTTAAAAGAAAAATTAAGTCCTATATTTTTACCGTCGATCAAATGTGATGAACTGAAAGGAAAAGCTGAAGAATTTGGACAAAAATGGCATTTTCCTAATTGTGTAGGGGCAATCGACGGTAAACACGTTTGCGTGTTTTGTCCGAATCGATCAGGGTCACTGTACTATAATTACAAAAATTTTTTTTCCATTGTCTTACTAGCTGTTGTTGACGCAAATTATAAATTTATTTTTACTGATGTCGGATCATATGGTAAGGAGGGTGATAGTGGCATATTCGACAAAAGTAATCTAGGAAAGCTGTATAGAAATGGGAATTTATTCCCTCCACCCTGTAAGGTACCCAACTCGAGTATTGTATTGCCACACGTTTTTGTAGGTGACAAGGCGTTTCGCTTACATACAAATATGATGAAACCTTATTCTCGTCCTGTTGCAAGTGTGGACAATCGAAAGGCGATTTTCAATTATCGACTCTCTAGAGCTCGAAGAGTTTCGGAAAATGCTTTTGGTCTACTAAGCCAAGTTTTTCGTATATTTTATACACCAATTGCCTTAAAGCCCGAGACCACCGACAATTTGATTGTTGTGGCATGCTGCTTACACAATTTACTAAGAGACGCTTATCTAGAGAAACAAGGCAATCCGTATTATGAACTGGACCCAAATGAGCAACCTCCAACAAAAAGTTTTTTACCACTTTCTAGAACTGGTGGTTTTTCAAATTCCGATGGGTTTGCTGTACGAGATTTATTTATGGAATATTTTAACAGTAATGCAGGAACAATTGCCTGGCAAGTTAGTCATACTACAAGAAATAATTAATAATATACTAATTGCTAATATAATTATAATATTTTGTAATACTAAATAATTATAATAAATTACAATATTCTTACCAGATCTTTTTACTTGTTCAGCTACCTCTTTCCAAGCATTATCCTTGATCGTCTGATTTTTGTAGAGTTTATGACCCAAATCATACAAACAATTGAATTTAGCTACCATTTCCACAAGTTTTTCGTCCTCAATGACAGTGAAGAGTACTTTTGACATGATGGAAGTACACGAAAAAAATATGAGAAAATTATACAAACGCGCGTGCGGCTGCGTCTATACTGCTCACTGGCCGGACGGTCCGTGCGGCTGACGCAACTTGCGGCCGCCGCAAAGCTGTTGACGCATTTTAGGAAACGCAACCATCTGATAACCTTGGAAGTAGTACCTTGCGTCAGACGCAGTGCGTTAGCCGCACGCGTCTGACGCGTCATAGGAATCGTACCTTTAGTTTCTAATATTATTGGACAATTTTTACTCTTTGAATTAATTGTTTCTAAGCTATTTTCCAAGTTAAAGTTTTTATTTAATTCTATAGTTTCAAATTTATAATTTTTTGATTGCTTATTAGTATTTGAATCTGGTGACCGTGATTTTTCCAAGTCTATTAAGAGATTTTTTAATTGTTGGACCGCGTTTCCAGTTTCAACAGTATTGTTTTTATTTTCTAATGTTTCGGATTGTAGTTGTGGTTTAAATTCACTATTATTATCACTAAAATGTACTTGGCTTATATTTAAATTTAATGAAAGATTGCTTTCTGTAAAAGTAAGATCTATACTATCGTCAGAGTTATCTTTCTCTTCGCTACCAAGTGATTCTATTCTGAAATTTTTTACAGCCGATTTTGCAAGATTTCTTAATTCTAAGAGAGTTGATGATTCTTCACAATTAATATTACAAAATTTTAAGAAGCCCACTACCTCGGACTTATCTAACAAATGTATCCACGCTACCGTTTTTTGAGAAATAATAAATTCAAATTTTTTTCCTACTGGTGATAGTTTATTAAATTCTTCTTGACTTAAAATTTTGACCTCATACAATGTACACAATGTAAATTTTTTAACTAATATAGCCGAAAAAGGTATCTTTCCAAATTTAGAATTCTCAAAAAAATCCCCCAAGTCGTTCTCCTCGATTGATCGTAATAAGGTTATTCAATTTATTTTATTTATTTCTGAATTGAAATTTTCGTTTAAAAATAATATATTTTTGTTTGTTACTTTAGCAGTTTGATTATTCGTATTTCGTTTTATATAAAATTTATCGTCCATTAAAAATTATTAGTCATTAAGAGAAATTTGAAAAGACAATGACTTTACACAAGATTCACCTGACCTAATACACTAATATTACAACACAAGGGGTGTACCTCAGAATCGAAATTTTTTCAGAAAAATTTTATTTCTTAAAAATCGGGACTCCAGGGACGAGCGCCTCCACCAATTGTAACGTCCCCTCTTCACCTGACGTGTGTGACGCTCTGGTCATCACTCTGTTATCTCCGTTATAGCTGGTTGGTATTTTATAAGCATATTTTGATACATTTCTCGTGCTTCCCTAGGGGCCCAATTCCCTGTCACTTTCCCAAATGGATATTCTCCAGAGTTGTCCTGCCAATAAGAACTGGTTATCCTCTTCCCTTCCAACACATGGGACCGCTGGTGCTCGGGTTTGTGGTTGTACCTGTAAGCCCTTATTATGGATTCTGCAACCTTGGGAGCTGGGGTTCCGTATGCCACAGGGGGGGTGTTAGTATATATATAAAGCCCACTGATAGTACTCAAGCTGTCTAGTTTGTCTCTATCTGGCCATTGCATTGACTCTCTTCTCCAGGGTCCCCATGGAATGGTGTATCCGGATGTCTTATTCTTAGCAGATAACTTCTTTCTACATCATTGGTGGTAAAGTGCTCCTTGAGACTCGTTTCTTCAAGGTGGCAATTAGAACCATCCCACATGTTCTTTTCACCATCAGAAATAAGCTGTACTTCACCTGATATGTCCTTGCGTTTTCCTGGTGCATACTCTATACGCCACAACCTTCTAACATTGTCAATTCCTATCCGTATCTTCATTTCAGCTCCAACTGGGTTTATCTCTAATGACTGTTGTGAGACAGCAGTGCTTTTTGCTATACACCTAAAGTCATCTGGTGGGTTCTTGCCCTGTGGTCTCAATGAAGAAGTCTCAACACCATATTGAGCGACAAATGTCCTGTCTTGGAACCAAGATGTGTATTCCCCAAACCCTAGAGGGAATATGAATGTTTTGTCAGGGCTCAGGTTTATCCCTATAGTTTGCAAAACACTCCTTTCAGTGAGTATTGCAGTGCAGAGCAAATAGTTGTTTGCGGCCACATAAACCGTCATTGAATCATCACTTGATCTGAGGGTCACAACCTTCATGGCCATAGGGTCCATTCTATGCATCATCGCCCCACACCCAAGTGTAGTGGAAGTAGCATTCAATATGCCCATGAGCATTCCACATGATGACAAAGCATATCCATTCGGCTCTAAATGTGGTGCCAATTCGTCATACCATTCTCTTGTCTGTAGATTAAGTCTGCCCCTTATATTACTATTCCATGAGGGCCTATTAAACTTGTTCTCATTTTGCATCATGACCCCCTCTCCCAATGTTATCCTCTTAAATGCTTGAATGCAATGGGTGGACACTGCTATTCTAAGAAATAACTCTTCATTCTTGGTAGGCGGTGGTAACATTAATTGTTTCCTGACATCCCCATCAAACAGACACATATGCATAAAGGCGAAGAGCTCTGGGGAGACACATTCATTAAACTTGGTGGCATCTTGTGTTGCTTGTGCATACACCGGCTCTTGACAATGTGGCAACGTGGCTGAACCTAGATTACTTATTATTTTAATCTTTTTCTCCTCTCCACCTATTGATATAGTTGATCCCTCTATCACCTTACCTAGATCTAAGTGAAATGACTCAACAATATGTAGCATCATTCTTAGGAACATTGACGGGGAGGCAATAGCTCTTCTGGACTTCTTTCCTCTTTCCAAATGTTTCAGGTAAGAACAAAAAGACCGAGTTAAGTCAAAAACATAATTCCAAGCCTTGTCTGCACCTTTTGTGTGATCGTTCACCAGTATCTTTTTAGTGATGGCCCTACGGAGTACAGAAAAGGACTTTTTGTCATACACTCTCTTGATTGTAGTATTTGTCCTTACACTTTTATGCCTCAATTCTGTCTTGCCCATTGCCTCAAACGTCAGCTGGAGCCATTCCAACGCGCATGAACTTGACCTTCCAACATTGGTCATGAAGAAATTGCATGCAGCAGTATACGCCTTGGTGCTTGGTGTACTCCTGTGGGTGATTGGACACCATGTTTGTCTTCCCCTGGTTAATATGTCTGAATTCTGTGTCGCACACACTCTCCTACACTACACGTATTCGTCCTTGTTATATACCTTAAACTGCTGCCTAAAAGCCTTAGGTCAGCAGTCGGCCCCGCTTGCCATTCCTCACACTCAGCGTTTTAACAACGTGTGCCCTACTTAAGGAATAATGTACGATGTCGATAGACGACAATCGTTACAATTCAATTTTGTAGACTTCATCATACAACTCGCGCATTATAACTTCAAAATCATAACTTGAATAAGTTACAATTTTCTCTATTAACAGTTTTAATTTTATATTATAAAATTTCCTGTTAATTACATTAACCCTTCAATGCGCGAGTTTTTGAATTAAAAAAAAAAAAAATTGTATTATATGTATTTTTAGACGTAGATAACAGAAAAAATACCTAAAAAATTCTAATTATTATATTTTTCTGAAAAACCAAGATTTTCAGATTGTTGCAAATATGCAACATCGCGCATTAATAAATAGTTAAATAATAATATTTAAAATGTTAACAAAATCATACTTTATTTATGTTTTTCTTTTACATTAAATAGGTAGGTACTAAACTAACACATTTTATTTATTTACTATTGAAACCTTATCATAGTATCACTTTTCTTAAAATTATTATATTTTATAGGTAATTTTAGATTATTAATTATATAATATGATAGCTACATTTTTAATATTTATTTTATGTGATAATTGGTAAAACAAACACCTTTTGATTTTACGCATAAATAAACTTTACATTTACAACACTGATAATTTGTATAGCCTTTACAATTTAGAAACTTGCAACGTCCTTTTTTTTCGTTATAATTTATAAAATGTCCTATGTTGTCAGTTCTTATATCTTGAGTGGGCCTTGGGGTCGGTCTAGTTCTGTTTTGTTTTTTAATGTTACTCTCTAATGACGGACGGCCTCTAGTTGGTGTTTGCACAATACCTGTTTTCGTAAGAGTGAACGCTAAACTTTTTCGCTAATCGGCTAATGTATATTTGCTAGGTTTTCCAAGCTGAGTTTGCGATCTTTTATATAGGAGCCATGAATTTACAATAGATGTGTCAATCAAATAGTAAAAAATTCGCATATACCACTTTCTTGATCTCATACGAATTTTATATCGCCCAATAAGACTAACTAAAAGATATTCTTTAATTACGGTGGGACAATCAATATTAATTTTTTTTTTTAATTTTTTATCAAATCTATTGGTAGTCAGTATTGGTAATGATCCACAATAAGTAGATAATAAATTAACTTGTTTATTGTCTTTCCACGAAGTCACACACATGGGCGTATTTTCAAAAACGGTCAAATATTCATACGATTTTCCGCGTACATCTTTTTTAATTATTTGGTCGCTAGGTATTTTATTATTGGGTAATCGGTCTTTCCGCACTGTTCCTAGACACAAAATTCCATTTTTGTACAAATAGGCAGCTAATGGAATACTTGTATAGAAATTGTCAAAATATAATCTATGATTTTTATGGCGTGGAACGTTTCTAGTAAGACGTACAACTATGTTAGAACTAGCACCGAGATCTGGTTCATTTGGCGATCGAAATCGTTGATCATTTTCTTGTCCCGAATAAATTTCAAATTGATATGAAAATCCTTTTGAGTCACACAATACGAAAAATTCAAAACCTCATTTATGAGGTTTTGCAGGCATATACTTCTTTAAATAACTTTTCGCTTTTGTAGCGCAAAGCTGCTCATCAAGTGACAAGTCTCTTGTATAAGGAATCGAGTTAAATTTATTATTTAAATGATCAATAAGAGCCCATATTTTATATAATCTATCATAATGAATT